CTAAACGAATGGTGGGGGATTTAATAATAGTCAAACAAGTTAAGAATTGAACATTATACATATATGTCAGAACAGTTTAGTATAATCTGTGTAATCTATGATTTCAATGTCAGTTGGGACTTTTTGGCGGGAACGCGAGGAGTGAAGTTGTGCGATTTGTTTTATTTTGTCTATTTAGTGTTTCTTCGGGTTTAAATGTGTAATAACGGTGGTTTATTAACTGTTTAATATCTGTGAAAGTGCACAAATGTGGGAAAATGAAACAAAGCCGCTAGACGTAACGACTTCTCGAGATCCTCCAAAAAGTCCAATGAAAAAATCTCAATAAATGACTACCGTTTTACTGAGATAATATTTCATCCCATATCATCTCATTTCATTTAATTTCATCCCAGTTGATTAATGGCTCAAATTAATCATCTTCATTTCATTTCACGCCATATTATCATTTTTCATAGAATTAAAAATTAAAATAAGACATGACTTAAAGGTCTTAGTTACCAGGTCATAAAATCGCATAAAAAAAGTCAAAAGACGTTCCGAGATTAAGTCTAGAAATTAAATTAATTATGGACACTTGAGGAAGTATTCCTTTATTCTACTACGCCATCCCACATATATTATTATGTATTTGCATTTTGTTTATTTTTAAAGATACATTTTGTTTTTTTAGTTCAGCTAAAACGTTCGTTAAGACGCTTCCGATGCGACCCGAGAGGATATCTCGCGGAAATGTTCTGTAGTGAGTTTGGTGTTGTGGTCTTCTTGGAGAAACATTGTTGTCAAAATAACCAGTTGTGCTTTGCATGGTCGGTGTGCAGTCTCCTCCTCCTCAAGTCGTGTTCCTCATGTCTGAGGGTCGTGACCACCATCACCCATGAGCTTCAATCTTAGGATCTTTTTCCACTTTCCCCTGTCCACGGCGTCATGCAGCGCGCTGTACACTGTACTGTCCAAAGCGGTGCGGATCTGATCGGACCAACGAGTCGGGTTGCGGCCTCTAGATCTGTTGCCTTCAACTTTCCCTGTGNAAATTTCAAAACGGCAGACATGGTCAAATGGATTTAAAATCCGTCAAAATCGGTACCTGTCCTACCTGAGCGCTCGGCGCGTCGACCACTTTGAGCTTAGTGAGTCCCCACCTCATGCATGGTAGGTATAGGGGTCTCAATGTACGAAAATTCAGGTCTGGTCAAATACATACAGGTAGATCCCACGGGCTCTCGGGCTACAATATCTTATGCATATTTGAGGCCGTCAGCGCAAAAGTGGCCTAAGCTTACCATAGTTAGTAGTATCATCATCATCATCATCATTCTTTCGTATTACCCTCTGCTGGAGTGTAGGGCTCGAATCAAATTTTTCCATTTACATCTTGGGCAGTCTGTTCTAGCTGCTCCCACGTCATGCCCAAGACCCCTAGCTCCTGCTCCACCGAGCGACGCCAAGTTAGTTAATATGGAGATAAAGGCAAAAACAATACGCGCAAAAATAATGTTTATAAAGCCACAATAAAATGTAATCTATGGGTGAAATTAAAGATTAATACTTATAGGGTTTCGCATTAAATTTTGGTCTTGAATTATTTGTGAAAAGTCCAGAGGAGGTTTAAAAGGTAGATAAATTAGAAAATGCTCGGAATAAAATTAAAATAACAATTTTGTTTTCTCTTTGATGTGTCCCCCGTCGGACGGATTCCTTTTGTTTGTTTTAAGTTTATTTTATACAAAAGTTTAGGTCTTTTATTTATAGATTGAGGCACTACGAAGTCTGCCGGGTCAGCTAGTATATAATAAGTACGAATATGAAAAATTATGGGTTAAGCCACTTTAGCGCTCACGGCCTTATTTGTAAAAAGCATCACTATAAGACGTCGAATAAAAACAATTTGCTGTAACATTAAAATTTCATAGTAATATGTGCATTAGTAATAAAAAATCGACAGCAATGTTATAAACGATTGTCTTCTGATTTCATTGATTTTATTCGCTGAAATAGTGTTTTTTTATTACGGACTTTACTAATAAAGTGTTGGTTAAAATGTCTAAATCTCAAGAATGTGAGCAGATGTTGGTTATATAGCGATGCGAATATAGTGCGTTTCTTTTTCGATACTGGGTCACGACGGTTTATATGGAGCCGAAAATGCTACCTACGTCTCTCTAACTCACACAGACACACACTAAGATCTTTTGAGGCTTTTTTGGGTCAGGGCATATTTCACAACGTCATCGTTGCGGCTTTTTTGCTGGCTCCGAAGGCAATTTGTGTTTTTTTTCTTTTCCTACCTATTCTAGTAAGCTTGAGGGGTTATTCTAGATTCACTGAACTAGTAGGTGAGCTCACGGGGCTCAAACCGGGAGTATTGTTATCACTGGCCCTAGCAAGAGCAGTGCTCCGCAGAATCTACCACCGGATCAGAAACGCGACCCACTAAGAAGATCCGGCGAGAAACTTAGTGGGCTGTGCCTATGGGTTAATTTACTTGTCGAGCCCTTCGTCGGAAGCGACGGGTTCGGCGAGGACGATGGCCGGTGCTTGAGGTACCTAAAAGCACCGTTAATGGATCGGGAGGATCCGTAATGACGTGCTTAGGGCGACGTCGACTGTTTACCATTCGGTCCACAGGATCGGGCAGGCTGGTATATTTCTCTTGAAAAAGAACATGGTATTAACACGACTCAATCAAGCGGTGTATTAAAATGTCGCAGATATAGGGTCGCTTGGCTCTGTCTCTGGAATTGCTTATGTCCACGGGCGACAGTAACGACAGCCATCAAGCAGGCCGTTCGTATTGGTGGTAGGACCTCTTGTGAGTCCGCGCGGGTATGTACCACCATCCTGCCTATTTCTGCCGTGAAGCAGTAATGCTTTTCGGTTTGAAGGGCGGGGCAGCCATTGTAATTATACCGAGATCATAGAACTTATATGTATATTAAGGTGGGTGGCGCATTTACGTTGTAGATGTCTATGGGCTCCAGTAACCACTTAACACCAGTTGGGCTGTGAGTTCGTCCACCCATCAAAGCAATAAAAAAAGGCCGTATGATCGTCTGCCTACATAAATAATATTTAATACTAGTTATTCCCCTATTCAACTGTGTAAGGTTGCTTATAACCAACATAATTGTGAATCCAAATGTGCTTGTCAAATGTTATAACAGTTAATTAAAAAAAAAATTGTGTATGTGCTAATATAAATCTTAATCTATTGTATGTATTTATATATGAGTATATTTAAAATATCATAATATTTTTGTGTGTGTTTTATAGCAAATACCGACTTTGAACTGCGGCTTCACTCGCGCGTGTATAATAATAATTATCACTGGTTAATAGTTTTTCTGGATGGAAAGCGCCTTATATTCCTTTTCTCTGACAACGTGTAGTTAATACATACGTGAAATCGTAACAAACACACGTTGTCATTTAAAATATTAGTGTATATTATTGTGATTAGTTACATAAATCTTGTGAGTCCTCCTCTGATGAGTCTTGTATTGTTAGGACCTCTTGTGAGTCCGCACGGGTAGGTACCGCGCCTATTTCTGCTGTGAAGCAGTAATGCGTTTCGGTTTGAAGGCTGGGGCAGCCGTTGTAACTATACTGAGACCTTAGAACTTATATCTCAAGACGGGTGGCGGGCGCATTTACGTTGTAGATGTCTATGGGCTCCAGTAACCGCTTAACACCAGGTGGGCTGTGTGCTCGTCCAACCATCTAAGCAATAAAAAAAATAACATGTCTTATTTTTGTTATTTACGGACTCTTATTAAAATCTTGTATACTTTTAAACTACCTTACATAGTCAGTGATTATGTGGCGTCCTGTCTATGTCTGTCGCAAAGCAGTAATGGTTTCCAGTTTGAAGATAGCCATTGTGAGTTGACGGCGTTCATACTACATGCGTATGGGCCCCAGTAACGGCTTAAAACCGGGCCGTGAGCTCGTGCGTTCGCCCAATGATAATCAGATATGGTAGGCAGCATCTTGGCTTTGCCCCTGGCATTGCTGAGGTCCATGAGCGACGGCTACCACTCACCATCAGGTGGGCCGTATGCTCGTCTGCCTATAAGGCGATTAAAAACGAACTTTTTCGAAAAATGCAATATATGGGTTACCTATATCTTTAATAGGAAATTGTTTTTTTACTCGGTTTTCGCCAAACATAAGGATTATTGAAATTACGATTTAATCTCGTCTTTACTGTTTTCTACGTTTCAAATCATCATCACTCATTTAAATACATTACAGTCTTCCGTGCCCACGGAAGACTGTAAACTGCAAAATTAGTTTTAATAACTTTCAGTTACTTTTAATTTTAAAAACAATCTATCCTCCAGTTTAGCTTATCGTATGATAAATAACTAATCGTTTTATTATTATTATTTTCTTATTGCTTACGTGGGTGGACGAACTCACAGCCCGCATAATGTTAAGTGGTTATCGGAGCTGATAGACATCTACAACGTAAATGCTGCCACCTACCTTGAGATGTGAGTTTTAAGGTCTCAGTTTTTACAGTACAACGGCTGCCCCACCCTACAAACCGAAACGCATTATTGTTTCACGGCAGAAATAGGCAGCTTGCGGTCTCTGAAGACGCCCTACCACCAGTAAAAACACTTATAATAATAGTTAATAGACTAATAACAGGACATAAGACTGCTATTGTTTCAATTTCGAGAATAATTTCCCGGTGAATTATATAAATATACTAGCTGTACCCGCCCGCTTCGCTGGGCATTTAAAATTAACATTATTATTTCTCACCCCCACAAAGATTCTCATCATTAACGCCCCCGCAACTGGTGTAGGGAGTCCAACAATCATATAAATATTAACCTATCCATTAAGTACATGTATTTTCTACATGGATACCAAGTTTCAAGTCAATCGGATGCACGGTTCAGTAGTTATAACGGAACATCGGTAAAAACCACTAGATTTATATATTAGTTTATAGATATAGGTGATGATCCATATAATTTTGTTTGCAGTACCTGCTCAAAAATACTAGGATAAACGATGTCAACAAGAGGCTCAAAGCACAAATATGGAGTTCAGTGGTGACTATAGTATTAGTCGAAGCCAAAAACCTCTCGGCCATGGACCTTGATACAAGGTCGAGTGACCCTTATTGTAAGTTTAGGTAAGGTGTATTTTAGTTTCGTAGATCTAGGTTCGGAATTTTAAGGATCGTGTCTTAGCACGGTTGTAATTTTAAGCTATTGCATAGCTTTTATCGCGGGCTTTGAGCGCGGCGACCGAATCAAGAAATTCCGTAACGAAAATAAAATCTGACTCCCCACTCCGCCTACCATGTAGCTCGCATTCAACACACAAGCGCGCGGCGTGACGTCGCACTGCATGCGCACCATGAAAAGTCTGCCTATCTCTCTCTCGCGCGGTCTAGCTTATGAGTGTGAAGGGGACAGTTAATGTTATGCTTTAGTTAATGTTTATAAATGTAGCGTGGTCTTATTTTATTATTGTTTTAATATTAAATTATTATTGTCTGCTTATAATTGCATAAGTTGATAAAAATGCTATGCAATAGCTTTACCGCGGCAGTTCCCGAGGGCTACGCGTGTTTTTTTTTAATAACATACGAAGCAGTGCCCGTCCAAAAATCGACCATATTTACTGACACCTCAAGGCTTAGATTCGTTTACGTTTTGCATTTTCGTATTAACACTGACACAAGTTATCGAAATAAAGTAGATACCACTAAAGCATTTCAATAGCAGAGGTGAAATCGGAAACTATTTTAAATAATATGTATTTTTAAACAAAGAATTCTTCGCCTAAACTCTATGAGGCTTAATATGGTATTGTCATTCCGAAAAATATTATAATTGATTGAGAAGATCTGAGAGGAGTAAGTACATCTCAGAGGTCTCTGTGTGCTTAGTGCGAGTTTTTTAACATTCTTGATCACGTAAAAGTTAACTCAAAGTATGCAGTTGGAACAGCGCGCCTAGCGGCAAACGTAGGCAAACGTTCCAACTTCATACGAATTTGAGTTAACTTTTACGCTATCGAGAACGTTAAAAAACTCGCATTAAGCACACTGGTAGCTCTTTTCGAAGGTCTTGACTGTTATATATTTAAATATCCAAAAATCACCCACTCATCTGACCGTAATACTTTTTAGATTGATGTAATATTTTAGGTTAGGTAACGAAAAATACAAGAGTAAAGTGGTGTGGAAAACCCTGCATCCGTCGTGGCTGGAGCAATTCGATTTACATTTGTACGACGACCAGGAACAAGTTCTGGAAGTGACCGTATGGGACAAGGATAAGCAGACCAAAGACGATTTTTTAGGGCGGTGAGTACCTACTAATTTTGAAATAATCGATGTATTATGATCGAATCGATATTTATGAATCGATTTGAATCATAAAGTTATTGGTTATGTATATAAACGCTTAGTTAAATGTTCACGAAGGCCTACGTTTACTCACTCGTCTTCACGTTCGGCCTACCTATATATTCGTATGTATATTTTTAAAATTGTAAATGATGTATCGTGAAAAAAAATTGAAAGTGAAATGTTTTTTTTATGCTTAGATGGGTGGACGAGCTCACAGCCCGCCTGTCGTCCGCCGCCACAGTGGTTACTGGAGCCCATAGACATCTACAACGTAAATGCGCCACCCATCTTGAGATATGAGTTCTAAGGCCTCAGTATAGTTACAACGACTGCCCCGCCATTCAAACCGAAACGCATTACTGCTTCACGGCAGAAATAGGCAGGGTGGTGGCACCTACCCGTGCGGACTCACAAGAGATCCTCCTACCACGAACTGGAAAACTGTAAGTATTATATAATCGGAAATAATATAATGACAGTAAAAAATGCGAGATCTTATCGTAAATTTAGTATTAATTAGGTCTTTCTACGCCCTGTTTAGAAGGTTACTTTTGTTTAGATGCACAATAGACTTATCGAAATTGGAAAGAGAGAAGACTCACAGTATGTGGAAGGAACTGGAAGATGGAAACGGACAAATCTTTCTATTGTTAACGATAAGCGGGACAACGCAGTCCGAAACAATAACGGATTTGACGAGCTACAAGGAAAATCCACGGGACCTGGAAATCATCGAACGTAGATATGTAAGTACTGCTTTTAAATCCGAAATAATTTGGAATAAAGAAGCAGTTAATAACTTACTTATGAATCCGCGAACAATAATTCGTAAGCACGAGCAAGAACTATAAATAGTAATTGAACGGTTGAATCGTATTTTTTTTTATTGCTAGATGGGTGGACGAGCTCACAGCCCACCTGGTGTTAAGTGGTTACTGGAGCCCAGAGACATTTACGACGTAAATGCGCCACCCACCTTGAGATATAAGTTCTAAGGTCTCAAGTATAGTTACAACGGCTGCTCCACCCTTCAAACCGAAACGCATTACTGCTTCACGGCAGAAATAGGCAGGGTGGTGGTACCCACCCGCGCGGACTCACAAGAGGTCCTACTACCAATATAAATTCAGTACCACGAGTACCACCAGTATATTTCTAAATTCTTTTTAATTTAGATTGTGTGCGAGTGTTTGAAGTGAAACTTCTTTAGTATCGTTGTGCATCCGCTACAAGATGTCGCTAGTTTCCATACGGAAAAATCTTAAAGTAACGCAGTTTCAGGGCCCTGGTCGCCTTAGCACTAGATAGGTCGTGAATTCTGCATTTTTCTGCTTTTTATAATTTCGTTATAACCTAAAAAAAAATGACAATTGCACTACAGACGTGGTACAGATTAAACGAAACATCAGCCGGGGTCGGTTGGCTATGCGTCAAGGTGTACGGTGCCAAAGGTCTGGCTGCAGCCGATCTGGGCGGGAAATCCGACCCGTTCTGCGTATTGGAGCTTGGTAATGCGAGACTGCAAACACATACCGAATACAAGACCTTGACACCGAATTGGATGAAGATATTCACTTTGTAAGTTTCTTTCTCGGTGATAGATATTTTTATTTATTTATGTACCTACACAGAAAAAAGAACACATAGTAAAGGGTAATAGGAAAATTATGTACAAAGGCGCTGCTTATTTCTTTAAGAAATCTCTTCCAGCAGGTCGATGAGAGATAGAATTGTTTGACCTTGTATTTAAAAACAGAAACAGACTTGCAAACTCGGATGTCAGCCGGCAACGAATTCCAGTCTGACCGCGTGCACAGATTTAAAATTGACAATCTTTATGTATTTTATTTAATATAGTCGTACTTTTTAATTAGGGTTAGCGTGGTATGGACATGCGATGCGTAGAGAGAAAATGCATGTGACTAGGAGATGTATGGATATGGTAGTGCAAGGTAGAGGGGGAAGAGGTCGACCGAAGAAGACGTGAATGGAGTGTGTGAATGACGATATGAAAGAGAGAGGAGTGAGTGTTGAGATGACGGCTAATAGAAGAGAATGGAAGAAAAAAATTTGCTGTGTCGACCCCACCTAGTGGGATAAGGTGGAGAAAAAGAAGAAGAAGATAGTTGTTTTTTTTTATTTGGTATTTAATGATAAAAGTGGGTATAGAAGAGAATAAACTCACCCAGAAGGATTCCGAAGACCGGGCAAAGTGGAGGAGTTTAAGTAGGAAAGAGAACCTTGACCTTAGTTAGACCAGGAAAACGCTAGGAAGAAGAAGATAGTAGCCTAGTTTTTTAGTCATAACTTCATTTATTATTACTTCTCCATCTCAATCATATCACTCTTGACAGAGTGCTCCTAATCGCCATATAGTATTAGTAGTTACCGTCGCTCATGGACATCAGCAATGCCAGGGGCAGAGCCAAGCCGCTGCCTACCGCTTAATACTCTTCATAAGCCTTGTTTGAAGAAGGACATGTCATAGCGCTCGGGAAACACCGTAGAGGGGAGCTCATTCCAAAGCCGGATGGTACGTGACAAAAATGATCTCTGGAAACGCAATGTAGATGAACGCAGTGGCTCTAAGTAGTATATATGAACTCTATTCCAATGGCGGACGATGGTAAAAACGAGATGATAGTATCGTCTCAAACAATTCCACAGAGCACTTGTGATTGTCAACAATTAATATCCTAATTTCCTGCTAAAGAACCCTCACAATTTCTGCTAAGATTGAAGGTATATTTAAAAAATTCCAGCACGGTAAAAGACATAAGCTCGATATTGGAATTGACCGTGTATGACGAGGATCACGACCACAAAGTCGAGTTTCTAGGTAAACTGGCCATTCCGCTGTTGAACATAAGGAACGGTGAGAAGAGATGGTACGCTCTGAAGGACAAGAAGATGAGGGCACGAGCGAAAGGAAACTACCCTCAGATATTACTGGAGATGTTGGTCGTATGGAATCCGGTACGTGAATAGATTAGATGAATTTTCATTGTCTATTTCTATTTCACAATGAAATTAATAATAACACGGGTCAACACCAAATTTGACTTTGATTGCAAAGCATAAAATTTCGATATTTTAGATCGTAATTAGATGAAAAAAAAAATACATGGCATGAAACAATTTGCTTTGAACTTTAATAAATTGACCACATATTAAAACAAAATGCATCAGTATCGTATTTACACTTTCGTGACAATTTAAGTTTTTCTGGGCTTATACAAAACACCTGATCGTTGTTTATGACTCTAGTGCCATCTAGTGGCACTGTGTAAACTTAAGCACCCCACTCTCATAGCGCGGTTTTTTTGAAAGTATTAAAATTGATGAAAATTTATAAAAAAAATTAAAAATGAGTATCATTACTATAACTATCCCCAAGGGTAACATTATACCAAAAAAAGTATTTTATTTTCGTTTTTGTAAATAATTAACCGAAAAAACCTACTATAAACGTTAGGACAAAGAATGAAATTTTTTTGTAGAGTTGTGTAATATAACTCTTTATTTGACACCACTTGTACAGAGTAAGCATATAACACAAATAATATAGACGGTGACATAAATTGGCGGCCTTATCGCTGAAAGCGATCTCTTCCAGGCAACCTTGTAGGGAGAGGAATAAGCAAGCTAGCATGGACGGTGCTATATCTTAATAAACTTACATAAAAATATATACTTATGTACACATGTGAAAAATAAATAAATTTTAAGATAGACTTACATACGATTAAATACAAATAAATACTAAAAATATGCAAGTACTTGCAAGTATAATAGTACTTCATTGTGAAATAGTACAATGATAATTAAAAATAAAAAACAAAGATTAAATCGTAAAAGTGTTTTTAATTATATCTAAGCCTCGCGAAATCCGAGGAAAATAGCAAAGCGACATGTTCGAAAGAATTCGTTACACAAGCAATGTAATACAAGTAGGTTGATAGACTTCATGTTACATTGCGGCTTCCTGAAATACTCCATGATGACCTGGAGCTTGACTCAGTCAGTAAGTATCTACAGTCTGCATCATTGCGCCACTTTGAGAAGGCGGCACGACCTGAAAACCCTCTTGTCGTGGCCGCTGGTAATTACATACTCGATCCGGTGGACCGAATGATAAACAGTCGACGTCGCCCTAAGCACGTCATGACGGTTCCTCCCGACCCATTAAAAGTGCTTTTAGGTACCACAAGCACCGGTCACCGTCCTCGCCGAACCCGTCGCTTGCCGAAGGGCTCAACGAGTAAATTAACCCATAGACACAGCCCACTGAGTTTCTCGCCGAATCTCCTCAGTGGGTCGCGTTTCCGATCCGGTGGTAGATTCAGCGAAGCACTGCTCTTGCTAGGACCAGTGTTAGCAAGTCCCCGTGAGCTCCCCTTCCAGCCCGCGCGTAATTGGAATATCCTTTTAGGCTGCCAACGATTAGGTAGGCGAAACAAATAATTCAAAATTATTATTACAGCTAAAAGGCGCGATCCGGGTTGTGAATCCAAAAGAGCCAAAATACATGCACCAAGAGGCCAAATTCAAGAGGCAGTTGTTCATAAGAAATGTTATGAGGCTGAAGGCCATTATTATGTGGTTCATTGAAGTCGGCAAGATATTGCAGTAAGTCATCATGATCTAAAATAACCAACTAACTTATTCACTTACGAAGGACTTAGTGTTTTTTTAGGTCTGTAAGATGTTAGATTTTTGAATTTTGGCCCAAAAGTAACATAAAAAAAAGAATGTTGGTATCTATTTTTGGACTTTTTATTGCCCTTGTAGGCAGACGCGCATACGGTTCATCTGAAGGTGAGTGGTTACGGTTGCTCATGGATCTCAGCAATGCCAAAGGCAGAGCCAAAGATGGCGCGTGAGTAGCTTTAATTCTTTGCGGTTCTAAGACTAAACTATACCAATACCAATACCAATACGTGTGGACTTTGAACCTTAAGGCAGTGGCGTAGCGTGGGTGTCAGCCGCCCGGGACGGAAGACAATTTTGCCGCCCTTTTGTTTAGGTATGTCCCTTGATGTATACTATACATTAACTCTAGATTTTTTTTTGGCAAGAGCATGAATCCCCCGAGTCAGTATAGACTGTGTTGCCAGTTCAATGGGTCCAAATTTGTACTTGCGATAAAAATATGAAATGGTTTAAATATTTTTATTATTTATTGTGAAATTTTGCCGCTCCCTAAAAAGTGCCGCCTGGGGCGGGCCACCGCCCCCTGCCTCCACCACGCTACGCCACTGCCTTAAGGGTAACCCCTTAAGGCAAGTTCAAATGGTTTTCATACAAAACGAGCGATAATCCGTGGCTTTATTCTTGCAGGGATTGTTTTGAATGGGAATCAAGGATCCGATCGTTTCTGGGCCTCCTCGCTTGGCTAGCCTTTTGTTATTATTACGAAATGTGGATGCTTCCCTTCATGCTGCTCATGTTCTTCGCTAGGAACTGGCTTGTTTATAGATTGACAGGTACGTATACCAAATAATGATGATTGGATTCTTGTCACTTGGGTAACTTAAAAAAAACACTATAATCATTTAAAAAAATCAGTAGCATTTACGACTCAACGGATTCGGTGGTCAAATCGTTATACCTAAACGAATGGTGGGGGATTTAATAATAGTCACAACAAGTTAAGAACTGAACATTATACATATTATTATATGTCAGGACAGTTTAGTATAATCTGTGTACCTATGATTTCAATGTCAGTTGGGACTTTTTGGCGGGAACGCGAGGAGTGAAGTTGTGCGATTTGTTATATTTTGTCTATTTAGTGTTTCTTCGGGTTTAAATGTGTAATAACGGTGGTTTATTAACTGTTTAATATCTGTGAAAGTGCACAAATGTGGGAAAATGAAACAAAGCCGCTAGACGTAACGACTTCTCGAGATCCTCCAAAAAGTCCAAGGAAAAAATCTCAATAAATGACTACCGTTTTACTGAGATAATATTTCATCTCATATCATCTCATTTCATTTAATTTCATCCCAGGTGATTAATGTCTCAAATTAATCATCTTCATTTCATTTCACTCCATATTATCATTTTTCATAAAAATTAAAATTAAAATAAGACATGACTTAAAGGTCTTAGTTACCAGGTCATAAAATCGCATAAAATAAGTCAAAAGACGTTCCGTGATTAAGTCTAGAAATTAAATTAATTATGGACACTTGAGGAAGTATTCCTTTATTCTACTACGCCATCCCACATATATTATTATGTATTTGCATTTTGTTTATTTTTAAAGATACATTTTGTTTTTTTAGTTCAGCTAAAACGTTCGTTAAGACGTTTCCGATGCGACCCGAGAGGATATCTCGCGGAAATGTTCTGTAGTGAGTTTGGTGTTGTGGTCTTCTTGGAGAAATATTGTTGTCAAAATAACCAGTTGTGCTTTGCATGGTCGGTGTGCAGTCTAAATATGTGTGAAGTCGTCGTGGCCTAAAGGATAAGACGTCCGGTGCAGTCGTGTTGAGCGATGCACCGGTGTTCGAATCCCAGGCGGGTACCAATTTTTCTAATGAAATACGTACTCAATAAATGTTCACGATTGACTTCCACGGTGAAGGAATAACATCGTGTAATAAAAATCAAACCCGCAAAATTATAATTTGCGTAATTACTGGTGGTAGGACCTCTTGTGAGTCCGCGTGGGTAGGTACCACCGCCCTGCCTATTTTTAGCCGTGAAGCAGTAATGCGTTTCGGTTTGAAGGGTGGGGCAGCCGTTGTAACTATACTGAGACCTTAGAACTTATATCTCAAGGTGGGTGGCGCATTTACGTTGTAGATGTCTATGGGCTCCAGGAACCACTTAACACCAGGTGTGCTGTGAGCTCGTCCAACCAACTAAGCAATAAAAAAAAAAGTACATTTAATGTACTGAAATAAAAAATAAATAAATGAATAATATTTAATTTTTATTTTCTTTAAATCATTAACGTGAAAATTACTATTACGGTTCCATCTAGATTTCAATTTAATTTAGTTTGATTTAAATCTCCGACATAATGTCATCACTTTATTATTTCCCAAGAAAATGTTATGGTTGTCGTATTTAAAAAAAAGACGGTAATTACCCCAATATTCGATTGTCAACGGATAATGCTGTAATCTTTCGTGACTACTGAACCTTTATTTGGAGCGACCGAAACTATAAAATAAAATTAATAAATGCGAGATTAAGCCTAAACAGTAATTTATTTTCTGATAATATTTTATTTATTGGCAATACTTACGCGAAGTCAGAAAAAAATTGACTGACGCAAACATAAAAGTATAAGCAATGAAGAGGGCTATGCTCGGAGTTTTCCTGCGAGATCAAATCCGAAATGAGGAGATTCGTAGAAAAACCACGGTAACTGACATAGCCCAAAGGATTGCGACGTTGAATTCAAGAAAGTTCTTGAGTGACGATCGCGTACCGGAAGACGTAGCGTGGGTAGGCCTCCCATAAGATGGACTGACGACCTATTGAGGTTCGCGGGGATCCGCTGGATGCAAACAGCGCAGGACCGATCTTTGTGGCGAGGCTTGGGGGAGGCCTATGTCCAGCGGTGGACGTCTGTGGGCTGATAAGAAGAAACATAAAAGTCTCTTATGTTATTTTGAATTGTAATGTCATATTGAACACCATATAAAGTTAGACATTGTAGTTTGTATTCCAAACCATTATGGTTTGGAAAGCAAATAACACCGGCACACTGTATTTGCCTTCTCCACGATTTTACGGAACTTTTACAGATACAGAAATCTTAGAAGATTCTAGAAGGTTAATTCGGTTAATTTTTTGGTGGCAGTCGCCGCTTTCTGGGTCTCACGACTTCTTTTGTTGATCACTTTACTACATCATCATCAAAAGTTTTATTTTATTATTGCTTAGTTGGATGGAGTAGCTTATGGTCCGATTACCGGAGCCTATAGACTTCAATAACGTTAATACCGCCGCCCATCTTTTGAAATGAGTTCTAAGTCTCAGTTTTAACAGTACAACAGCAGCACCCTTCACACGACTTACCCGTGCGGACTCACAAGACGCCTTACCACCAATAATTATCTGAACTCTAATTTTCTCGGGTTTGATTTTTTGGAAATAACTCACGAACATTTATTAAGTACGGATTTAATTAGGAAAATTGGTTAGCCAGCAGGTGTGCGGTATTTGAACACTAACACTGACACATCGCTCGATACGAATGCATCGAGCGCCTTCTCCTTTAGGCCACGACGACTCAAAACTTTTGACGATTACCCAATTATTTCTAAAAAGTTCGTCGACCGCTTTAAGTATCTACAGTCGGCATCATTGCGTCACTTTGAGAAGGCGGCACGACATGAGAAGCCTCTTATCGTGGCTGCTGGAAATTACATACCCGATCCTGTAGACAGAATGGTAAACAGTCGATATCGCCCAAAACACGTCATTACGGATCCTCCCAATCCATTAACGGTCCTTTAGGTACCACAAGCACCGGTCACCGCCCTCGTCGAACCCGTCGCTTGCGACGAAGGGCTCGACGAGCGAATTAACCCACAGACACAGCCCACTGAGTTTCTCGCCGGATTTTCTCAGTGGGTCGCGTTTCCGATCCGGTAGTAGATTCTGCGAAGCACTGCTTTTGCTAGGGCCAGTGTAAGCAACACTCCGGTTTGAGCCCCGTGAGCTCACCTACACGTTAGGGCGAAGCTGATATAGCCTCTCAACTCTATCAGAATAGGTAAGAAAAAAATAGTCGACCGCAAACATCGCGACTGAATCTGACTTCGTTATTTGATGTTCTTTTTAGGGGGTAACCCTTTGCTAGTACCGGTTGACGACGACGATCTGTTGGCTGAAGAAGACGACGAAGAGGAAATGGATAAGGTAACTTCCTTAGCTATCGTTGTGTTATCTACAATAAATATTACCTCTAATTCAGATCTCGTTTGAAACCGACCGATGATTTGTCAGATTGCAATTTAAACGTTAAACAAATATGAATACGGTTTGCATTCTGAACAAACATCATTTTATTAGTAGTAGAGATGAAAGAAAAGTTAAATATTTGCAGGAAGAAAAGAAATCTCTTAAAGAAAGATTGCAAGCTATACAAGAAGTTACACAAACAGTACAGAACGCCATAGGTTATGTCGCGTCGCTGGGCGAAGCTGTCAAAAAGTAAGTTTTTTTTTAATTCTTAATTAACATGTATGGACAAGGAAACTTTAATAAAAAAAAATATAATTATTACACACTCTGCTTAATATATAAATTGTTATTTAGAACTTATATCTCAAGGTGGGTGGCGCTTTTACGTTGTAGGTGTCTATGGGCTCCAGTAACCACTTAACACCAGGTGGGCTGTGAGCTCGTCCACACGTCTAAGCAATAAAAAAAAAAAAAATTATGTTGTCTATGAGTCGTGGTCACTTGAAATAAATAAATAAAGATTATTATTAATATTATTATTTATATTTTCAGTTTAATGAACTTCACTGTGCCATATCTGAGCTATTTAGCGATTATAATGTTATTCGGGGCGATGTTGGTACTATACGTAATACCTTTGAGGTACCTCCTAATGGCTTGGGGTAAGTCAAAAATCATTTGACATTAGTAGGCAGCGCGTTCCATTTTGGGCCCAACGTGTTCAATTTGTTTACCTACCTATTTTAATTATTAAAAAGTGATATAAATACTGGTGGTCATATCTACAGCTTTTACGATTGATAATTTATTTATTTGGGAAACAAAAAGTACAAAATAAACATATAATATTTTAAAAAAATTAGCTAAAGCAATAACCAAAACATGTTTCCACCATCAAAATCACATATAAGTAGAAAGTGAACAAAGGGGACAAAAAAGAGTAATTTAGGAACTTAAGTTTACACAAAAAAACAAAATCAACACAATATGCACATATTATTATTATTATTATGTACAATAACTTACACTATCTGGGCATTTAAAATTAACATTATTATTTATTGTCATTATTATTAGGGAGTCCAACGCTGATATAAATATTAGCCTATCCATTAAGTACATGTATTTTCTACATGAATACAAAGTTTCAAGTCAATCGGATGCATGGTTCAGTAGTTATAACGGAACATCCGTAAAAACCACTCTAGATTTATATATTAGATTGGAAGTATAGATTATATCAAACTAAGAACACTAGTTATGAATGTATTATAGTTTCGTTTTTTTTTATATAACCATCTTAATATATAAATAAGTAAGTCATCATTGTTTTTACAGGAATAAATAAATTTACGAGGAAAATTTTAAGACCACACACGATACCAAACAATGAAGTTTTGGATTTGTTATCGAGAGTACCTGACGATGAGACTCTTGTGAGTACTTTTTGTTGATCCATCGACCCTAATATCAATAGTCAGTCAGCTGGTTATTATTCCAAACGAACCTGGTGGTAGGACGTCTTGTGAGTCCGCACGGGTAGGCACCACCACCTTGCCTATTTCTGCCGTGAAGCAGTAATGAGAGACCTTAGAACTCATGTCTCAAGGTAGGTGATGGTATTTACGTTGTAGATGTCTATGGGCTCTAGTAATCACTTGACACCAGGTGGGCCTTGAGCTCTTCCACCCATCTAAGCAATAAAAACAAAGCCTCTTCGAGAACTACTATAGGTACATTATTTATTTCAATGCATCATATCCTACTAGCGTAGTGGCTGTCGACGCCCATAGACATCATACCTTAAGCCATGAGGTCGACTTCGAAGCGAAACGCATGAATCCGTCACGGCTACAACAGGCAAGATTTGCAACTACCGTACTTGTAATTTACTCTAGACCTAACTATCTATTTTTAAACACAATATTATTATACTGGTTATTTTCAATGTCCAATGATGTCTAAACATCGAGTCCGGATTAGTTGTAAAACCTAATCTATACCGTGTGCTTAGTGAGAGTTTTTTAACGTTCTCGATAGCGTAAAAGTTAGCTCATATTTGTATTTCGTTTGCGTACGTTTGCCGCTAGGGGCGCTGTTCCAACTGCATACAACATTGGGTTAACTTTTACGCTATCGAGAACGTTAAAAAAACTCTCACTAAGCACACTGATATATTGTTTAACAGTTGGACTGCAGAGAACTGAAGACGCATCCACCGAATGAGCGAAAAGACGCTAGAAAAAAACATAAAGCATCCTAACGAATTTCTTTTAAGAACAAACTTAGGTTAATACCACACGAAAACTCAAACTTCGAATGATTTGTATTGTCTATGGAGCGAAAAATTAAAAAAAATCTATGTAGATTTTTCGTCACAAAAATGAATATAATTAAGACAAGGTAGAAATTCTAGTAACTACCATTCTCTCATAATACCGTATTCTGAAAAAGGAAAACAATAATTAAAGACTTATTATGTGAAATAAAAGGAGAGGCTGTCTGTCAAAGGCTATATAAAAAAAAAACATAAATCTGATTAATATTGCATAATATCGACCAAATGTGACCAGACATTTATAAACATAGAGAAGACAGGGAGAAAACTAAAGTCTGCGCCATCATGCATAATCATGCTTCTCAATCTTTGTATTTATTAACTAATAATGTACATAATCAAAAAACAAAAACAAAATTGAAATCTGTTTTCAAATATGAGCGTTTTACGCTAAAATAAAAAAAAATATAAATAAAGCACGAAATACGAAATTATGAAGCCAATGAACTTCCCCCTTCGGTATAAGTTCCACAGATTAGGATACAACATTCTCTAACTACAATAGTCAGATATGGAACAAAAAATCCGCTATTCCTAATTATCATTCTACTCTCGCTTCCCATCACAAATTAAAAGCAAAAATTTACTATATCAGAATGTTTAGCTCGATTTAAAATTCGCCATACACTAAACTTTAATGTGAACACAAATCAACAACCCGATTAAGGAAGTTGGCGGGAAATAAAATACGTAAAATGTTTTCATTTGTGTCACAAACTTCGAGGACTAAAATAAGAAATAGGTACATTAAATCTGGATGCGTACCATGCATCCGTGCCGGTCAGACAAGTTTTTCATTTCCCTCTACATGTTTCTTAGCAGACGAAAAGCCTTCCTTCAAGTGTCGGGCAGATTGTCGGATCCTTCCGGCATACTTCTGAAACTTACCGGATTGGCACGGGTGTGCGTATGCGTCCAAGCTAATACTACTTTCGGAAATATATTTTTTTCCATTGATATATTATCACTAGAGGTCGGAGTAGGTAGATTTTAAAGTCGTTGACGTCAAAGGTAGAGGATAATATGGATATGCCTCCAAAATACCGGAACTTCATATTTATTGTGATATTTGTTACGGAATTTTGAAATTAACATGAATCTGTGTTTAAGGTGAAAAGCGTATTAATAATATTAATCTACGCTACCAGTGCTAGCTAATGGTGGAAGAAATCAGTATTTTATTTTATACAAAAACACCATAGAATATTTACACCGTATTTTATTCCTTTCTGTTGAATTAGAAATGACGCCTGTCAGTATGAGACAAAACTTAGACTCATAAATATAGATTTTGTATCCGATGAGGATTAAAAATATATTTGTTTTCAATTAAAAAAAATAATTATTATGGATAAAATGCCAAGTCCATATTATAATAAAATATCTTGACCCAAGTATATAAAATCAATCTACCTACTCCGACCACCGATTATCACAACTCACCGAAATAAACGAATCTTATTAATGCAAGTTGTAAATGTAACTTTAACTAATGAAAAGTTGATCGAAGATTGAAAAAATATTATAATTTTTCATTTTGTTATAACAAAGATATTCCTCAATATTTTGCTTTAAATTTGCGTTGAAATATATATTTAGGAACATAACCGTAATATTAAGTGTTTTGAATCTAAATTTTTCAATTGATCTGTGATTTAAATTTGATCTTTAGATGTGAATTGATTTTTATAATTAAAATAAGAAACACAATGTTATGACACCAAGTATAAAATTTATTATTATAATAACATACCTACCAATAAGATTACCTTATTAAGAATAAAATGTCTATTATTGTAACCTTATAATAAATGTTTCTTCCAAAAAAATTCCATTCGCGTGTTAGTTTGTGCTAGATGAGTACAATTTGTAATTACATAAATATTTTCAGTAATAATTTTACGACATAAAAATATAATTTAACAGTAAATAGATTAATCAATTCGAGAGAATGTTATGTGCTTGATGCTTTAACAGTTTTGTCTAACTTATTTAGCCCTTTTACTGAAATATTAATAAATCTAGGGCTTAATCGAAAGTTTGAAAATTGATTAATGAAATATTTATTTTTATTAAGTCTCAGTGTTCGGTATTTTTGTGTCGTAGAAAGATTACTTAAAAGTTAGATAGATAGATTTTAAAATTGTTACTGAAACTATCACATAGTTAATGATATTTAAGAAATAAAATTTCATTATTTTATAATTGTTGACATTTATTGCATGAGATAGTTTTTTTTTTAAAACGATTAATTCATTTATATCCCAAATTTTAAGTATGTATGTGATGCATCATGAATAGTGATAGATTAGATAGGTTTTTGAATACAGCCGATTTTATAAAAAAAAAAGTTTTTGATGTACATATTTTTTTCAGTGCAGTTTATAAATTTATAATATTGTTTGTTATGTAGAACATTTTTTATGGTTCTCACAACAATGTTATCATTTAAATGAATTTTTAAATGGGCATTTTTTTTAAGAATTCTAGGCGATGTGGTCAGAACCACGTAGTTACCTAACACATTAAATTCCGTTCTCTTGAATTACATTTTAAACTTCATTAAAATAAAATATCATTCTTTGTAACTTTTGAAAATCTAGAAACAGTATTAGAAAAGGTATCGCAAATGTATCAAAATTGAAAATGAATATGATACCTTTTGAAGGTACGTCGTCGATCGATATAAAATATCTCACCTTTAGTATTGAAGTAACTTAACAAAAAAATTTAAGAAAATTACATTTTTACTTTGAACGTCTTATAAAAATGTATTCTATAAGTTTGTAAAATTATTTTTTTTTTAAATTAAAATCAAATTTAAATTTTAGTCTAGAAAAGGACAAAGTACGCTTGCCGTCTCTTTTAAATCAAACTTTAAGGTTTTAAATTAGAGTGTATTAAAAGATTAGTATTAAAATCGAACCATTAAAACAATGCTTCAATTACATTTTTTGCGTTTACCAAAAAACTAAAATTTTGGATTAAGCCACTTTAATTCTAAACGTGCGATATTAGAATCATAGAAATGTGATTCAATATTTCAATATCATCAGTCTTGTGATTTAGAAGTTTCAAGAAGTTCTCTACAATGCCGACATATTTATTTTTGTTAATTAATTTTAAATTTCTACAATAACTGTTTCATGCAATTAGTTGAAATGTATTTAATTCTTTTGTCGTTCGTGTATTAATTGTTTGAAAATTACAAACATGAAACATGCACAGATTACTATCACTTAATGCACAGTGCACACAATTTTTTTTTTATATCAAATCTTAATATTTTGATGCAAATTTTATATGTGCTATGTTAAATTCGACAACCTATTTAAATATGTACCAAATAAATGATGCAGTATTCTAAATCATTACATCCAAATCCTGATTACTACCCAAAAAATTTGTCTGAGTTAATTTCCTTTTTTTTTTCAGTCAAACTACAAAAGTGTTCAATTAATATAAAAAGCACAAAAATATGTAACGTTCCCGCTTTTCTTAATAAATAAAAATTGAAATACGCTTCTTCTTATTGAATACACACGTAATATCAATTTAATTGTTAATCTTGACCATAACATTATTTTGAGATATTAAAAAAAATGTTAAACATTTTATGCCTTTTTTTATGTTTATAGCTTGACTAGCTATAAATATACGTATCTACCTACATTACTTACTATCCTACCTACTACGATTTTGAAGATACAAGCTCAACTATTGCATCTAGTCGCAACAGCTCATTACCACTCGCGTTTCTGATAAAAATGATTCTAAAAGCAGATGCTCGACAAGTTGGAGATGATTACGCTATCCGTGGGGCCTAGGGCCTTAAACAGACTATACGGTCATGATCATATATATTGTGACCTGCTTAAAATGTACTTACATTCGACGTGTGAAACTCACTCTAATAGATAGTACGAGCAAAAAATTACCTCTTAGAAGGAACCAACTGTGTGCTTAGTGCGAGATTTTTTAACGTTCTCGATAGCGTAAAAGTTAACTCGACTTTGTATGCAGTTGGAATAGCGCCCCTAGCGGCAAACATTGGGAAATGTTCGAACTCCTTAATATAAATTTAACATGGCTTGTATGTTATCGAGAACGTTAAAAAACTCGCACTAAGCACACTCATCGTTTTATGTAAATTTCGAGATTGTACAGATGAACAGGGGTGCCGAACCATACTATGGTAAATATGTTGCTTAAATGATAATGATAACAATGAATATATTGATCATGAGAAATAACTTTTACGACTAGAAGAAGAAAATAATGGAAGAGTTGCCTCAACTGAACTCAGAGAATAAACTAATTATTTTATCATATCATATTTTCAACAAATAAATATTTCAATAAATAGGGCTAGTCCTTGTAGTTTTATTCCTTTTTATTATTAATTATTCGATTCTACTACATTATAAATTCATAATTACAGTTTCGGTTAGTTTTTTATGTCATTCAATGTCAGTAGACTCAAGCACGTTAAAAACCACTGAAGTATGAAACCTAGGTCTATGTTAAAAACATAATACAATTATTATACACTATGAATACATACTATAAGATATATATTATAACTGTTTTTTTTAAACATGAAGGGATTGCTGGTGGCCCGACGGCCTTTCCAGTTTTATCATTTCAGCGAACACAATTGATTATGTTAAATATAAATGCAGATTCTAATGTGAATGATAGAGCAGGATGTGCTCCGTCAAGCTTTAAGCAAGCATTCAGTTTATTAGGTCTAGAATATGGTGGGAACCTGCCGAACAAGGACGGATAGTAGGTAACATGCGACAGGACTCAGTAAGAAAAGCTCAGCTTAGTCTATGGTTCAATCCTAGTCTGTGGCAGGTATTGACTATTGTCATTTTGTTGGCCTGTCAATGTCAATTGTCTTGTCAAATCGTGGCCGTCCTCAAGCGTGAACGGCGTCAAATAATTTTATTGCCCGCTCAACTTCCGATCTGCGTTCACATTCGGTTAGCCACTAAAAGACCGCACAATGGCATCCAAATTACAAGAGTATAAAGACAACATAGAACAAAGTCTGAACGACAAAAGCAAGCCATGGACGAAATATTTTGAACTAGCCGAACAAAAGGTCGGCGTGAACAGATTGTACATTTTCTTAGGTAAGTTTTTGTACTTTTTTTAATTCGCGTTTATTTATATCTTTAGCGGTTGATTGACATGTATTTCGTGTTGTCCAGGCTTGGTCGCGTTCACCGGTTTATATTTAGTGTTCGGTTTCGGAGCTGAATTAATATGCAACTCGATCGGCTTCGTGTACCCCGCGTACATGTCTATGAAGGCTCTGGAGTCACCGCAGAAGGATGACGATACAAAATGGCTTACATATTGGGTGGTGTACGCCTGTTTTTCTATCGTGGAGTACTTTTCCGATTTCATCGTCGGCTGGTTTCCATTGTACTGGCTGTTAAAGGTAAGCTGACATATGTTAGGTTCTATATTCAAATCAAGAATTGATCTTTTTAAAAGATATAAAATACAAATAAATAAAACCTGTTAGAAAACCTAAAGAAAACCTGTAATGTTAAGTAAAAGTATTTTTAGAGTGAAATTAAGATAATTATGGAACTGACCTAACCTAAAGAAAATTTTATTAGCAATATTAGTAAGATGCTATAGTGCTCTTTGGGTGTTTCAATATGCATTTTTAATTTCAAGAAAAGCAATGAATATCACACTATTAACATTAGGATAAAACTCTAATATAAAGTATTTTTTGTAAATTTAACTTTTAAATGAAATTTATTAATGGTTTATAGACTAAAATTGTAATTTTATGGCAATGGCAATTTTAATGATGCATATGTTTAGAAGTCTAGAGATTTCAATTTGGTCTAAACTTTTGTTCAACAAGGTTAATCTTATAGTGCCTTAACATATTTTTCTAAAAGATGAACTGGCCACTATACTGCCATTGAAGCACTACAGAAGGACATCTAAAAAGATTTTGTAATTATAATAATTTAAAGGCTATTTTATTTAGGGTATTTGATATGTCAAATAAAATTATCTGTGGTATGCCTAAACGAGAATAGGACGAAGCTAAATTAAGCAGCATCACATTGATAACATCTATAGCTGCCACTTGTAATGAAAGGGCTAATTACGTAGCCTGTATGTGCACTGCAGCATGACTTATTATGTATGAAAGTATTGAAATAAAATTAACTTCTGATGACCGGTCAAGCTTAATCACTAACTGTATCAAAAATATTGCTGGTAACCACTCATGCGCCACCTGTCGGACATTGTTGGTACTATGATGTGAAGTTTATGTAGACTGGCAACAATGACTGATAAGCTTCATCACAATTGGATGAATTCATTAAGACGACACAGAGGACAGACATTCTATTTTTTAACATCCATAAGATTACTATAGTGTTTTGTAGCTTTAAAAGCTTAGAAACCAGTGCCATGAATCATTTGAGTGAATTTCTTGTACCTTCATTTTAATCTATGGTTTCTTTATCAGAAAGTATGACCGAACTTTTAAAAGAAATTTTAGCATTTATCTTTCTTATCAGCTTGCCTCTTATCTTTGTATTTGAGGGAAATGTTTGTTTCTTAATGGCTGTTAGAATTACACAATCTCATGCAATGAATATTTTTATTACATATGGGTTCGGGATACCTATATGCTTAACATGTGTGTACTACAAAAAAAGATGTCGGTTTTCAAAACATCTATTGGTCCATAACATTATAAAAATGAAATTAATAGAAATGATAATTTCTTAAATCTCTATGACTGGCAAATCTATGACTGGAGTAAGATTAATATTAGAAAAGTTAATTAAGGTTAAAACAATTTAAAGTCTATTGGATAGAAATACACTGGATGTTTCATAAGCTATCCTGCCAATGTTGTCAAGATCATTCATAAACTGATTATTTAAGCTTTATGGTACACCAATAATCGAGGTGACATCTGTAAAGTACTTATTGTCAATTTGTCTATGTTTTGTATTGATGATCACTTTGTTGATGAAACTAAATAAATAAAATAACCAAAAAAATTAAACAGAAATTAGTCCAATGGGCACTATTTTGGCTAAGAATGTTCACTTCCAGAGAATTAAATGAGCAGAAATCATCTAAAGATCAACGTTAATTGTGGTGCTTAGTTTTTTAATAATACATAAATAAATATTATCAACCTAAAATAACTATGATCGAATTTAATACAGAAAAATCTACACTAACCAGAAAATTTGTCCTAACATAAATTGACAACGAACAATAAAAATAGAAAAAAAAAAGTAGAAATAATAAAAACGTTAGTAGTATTCACACAACAGAGAATGCAAACACGCCAAATCCATTAACCGACAAACTAATTAGAGCATTTGTTAACTGTAAATCATTTCCTGCTAATGAAGGTTCAAGGTTCGAATAGTTAATTAACAATCTTCTACTGTTTTATCAAATAACAATACACAGAGTAAAAATATTGATTAGTATTATGTGGCGGGAAGTTGTGGACTTCTAAGGCTTTGTACATATGTTTTTCATGTGTTTATAAGGTTTAGTTTTTATTGAAATTACTCAATTTTTAATAATCTGGTATTTTATTGTTATTCATAAAAACTATTGAGCACATTCCCAACATGAGATTGAAGATCAATAGTAGATTGGGTTCCCTGCACTATTGACTAGCCCCATCTCTGGGTTCTGGAACTATCAGAAAGCAGTTGCTTAGAGTAGGGATTTCCAAACTATTTAGAGCAAGAGACTTTTTACAATGAACTTATACCTCAGACCCTTATAGCCAAAACATTTAAAAAAAGCTATCTTCTTTTTTCTACCTATAATGATAGCCTTCAGAGGCTATTTCAGCTTCGCCTTGAGCTCACGGGGCTCCAATCGGAAGTGTTGCTAACACTGGCCCTAGCAAGAGCAGTGCTTCGCAGTATCTACCACCGGATCGGAAACGCAACCCACTGAGAAGATCCGGCGAGAAACTCAGTGGGCTGTGGCTATGGTTTAATTTACTCGTCGAGCATTTCGTCGCAAGTGACGTTTTCGACGAGGACGGTGACCAGTGCTTGTGGTACCTAAAAGCACCGTTAATGGATCGGGAGGATCCGTAATGACGTGTTTTAGGCGACGTCGACTATTTACCATTCGGTCTACAGGATCGGGTGTATGATTCCCAGCGGCCACGACAAGAGGGTTCTTATGTCGTGCCGCCTTCTCAAAGTGGCACAATGATGCCGACTGTAGATACTTATTGACTGAGTCAAGCTCCAGGTCATCATGGAGATCCACGTTCCTTTGGAACCATGGTGCTCCGACGGCTATCCTTCAAAAACGGGATTGAATAACTTGAAGGGGTTTCAAGTTGATGCGGGCCGCGTGAGCGAACACTACACTTGCATACGTCATGGCGGGCCGTATGCGAGTTTTGTAGAGTGTCATCTTATTTCGAAGTATCTTGTTGATGTTCAGATCGAAACGCCGATCAGCCTAATTATTGTTTGAACGGAATAAAAACCGATTATTTCAAGATACGATTAACTTTGTCTATTAAAGAATACACTAATAATCATTATTATGTACCTACACTCAATAGATCTTATATTACATTGTACTTGATATATATATATATATAAGTCGTTGTGATGTCTGTGAGTTGAGTGCATAACGCAAGGTTTTAGTGATCTACCGAAATATAGTATTCATGGGTCGATCCTATTAACTCTGTAACCCAGAGATAGCGTATTCAAACTGGGCATTTTTGTAGAAATGTATCGTCGTTGTCAAACCAAAATCTGCTATGTGCACTATTTTTTTACTTTTCATCCTTTTCGTATAGTTGACAGCCCTATCTACCGTACAAAAAAACCTGTTATTGTCTGTAGCTTTAATATTTGAGTCGTCTATTATCAAAGGTGGCAATCTGTACATTTGGACAAAACATTTTTATTGATATGTCAATACAGATTTATTTGAATATAATCGTCTCCTTCAAAGAATACGGTTCAAAACCTGCATTAAATAAAGGTTAATAGTTAACCTGTTATTTATCTAAGATGTCGTTCCGAAGAGTAACTGCCAATGGAATACAAAGTCAATAATTCGTTTTTCTGATTTACCAATCATTGTCCAAAAGTCAGATTGCCGCCTTTGATAATAGTCGACTCATTTATTGCTTTCATTTGATAGTAGATTTTGGTTTGAAAGCGACGGTATATTGTTTTTCAAAATAATCATTACATATAGGTAGGTATACTTGTGTATCTGGTTAATAATATAAATTACATTTGCCCATGTCATGCAGTCTCGTCAATTGATAAAAAAAACCCAGTTCGACAAATCGGCATGACACGACAACCATCTTATCATGGCCGCCGCTAATTACCTATCTGTTTAGTTTCTGAACGTCAAAACGTCAGCGGGCGACGTCCGCCATGACACCAACTCCAACCGCCAAGAGCAACGCAACGTCAGTTCAAGTCGTCGTGGCCTAAAGGATAAGACGTCCGGTGCATTCGTATCTAACGATGCACCAGTGTTCGAATCCCGCAGGCGGGTACCAATTTTTCCAATGAAATACGTACTTAGCAAATGTTCACAATTGACTTTCACGGCGAAGGAATAAACATCGTGTAATAAAAATCAAACCCGCAAAATTATAATTTGCATAATTGCTGGTAGTAGGACCTCTTGTGAGTCCGCACGGGTAGGTACCATGCCCATTTCTGTCGTGAAGTAGTAATGCGTTTCGGTTTGAAGGGTGGGGCAGCCGTTGTAATATACTTGAGACCTTAGAACTTATATCTAAAGGTGGATGGCGCATTTGTGTTGTAGATGTCTATGGGCTCCAGTAACTACTAGTCGTAGTTGCTCGTCCACCCATCTGAGCAATAAAAAAATCAATTTTGTATTTCTCTTAATTAAGTTTTTAATTTTTAATAAATAAAAATAATAATAACACCTATAGTAACGGTACCTACAGATTACAGGTAACATTATCAGTTTTTATGTGGTTTATTTTGTTATCTCTGCTTGCGGTGACTCGCCAATGATAAAATGTAATGCTCTCCGCAACATTTCATTGAAGCAACCTTGATCTCCCTACGCGAGCTACCGTGACTCAAACAATAATAGTATGTAGGTGTTTTTTCTTATTGTCCAATGAAAATCGTCTTTGGCTTTAATACGATTGGACAGTCTAATATCTCCGAAATGTAACATTTTAAACCTCTATAAAAGACGTTGACGTCACATTATTTTTTTTTACTGACTAACATTAGAGTGCTCTAACGTTATTTATTCTAAACGCATTTCGAAGGGTTTACGAATTGATTCTACTAGATAAAATGCCGGCGCATAACTGTGTATCGATATACTAGAAAACTTAACTTAATAAATATTTTGAAGTTTTAACGAAAAAGAAGAGAGACTGAAACAGAATTACATGAGAAGGAATCCATGTCCTTAGACGTCTTCAGCTCTAGCGCTAGGAGCAGGCTTACGGACCCCAGTAACCGTACCCGCTGAACTCGGCAAAGAGTTCGACAAGCAACCTAACCTATGCATCACCCCGCTGACTTTCTCACCGGATCTTCTTAGCGGGTCGCAGTTCCGATCCGGTAGTAGATTCATTCGCGAAACAGTTGCTCTTGAGTTTGTAGGTCTCTATTGGAGACGTTCAGGCAGCTGTTAGCAAATCCCACCCTTCCTGGCTGAGCCTTTGCTCGCCCATCTGTCTTGGTGAAACTGGAAAAACCTCTAGGCCATCAGCAATACTTCAATCATAAAAAAACCACCACAGAAAGAATGAATCATCCATGCAGTTGAATTCAATTAAATATGCACTGTTAAGAATAACTCCAAAAATACTAGTCAGAAAACGATCTTCATACCGCATAAATATTGTTTTGTCAGTCAACGGCCATATTTGCTTCGAATTGTGGGGTCTGACAACCGCACAGTATCGTGTATTAAATACCTATATATTATAATATCGAAGGGTGAAAAGCTGTTTGGTTTAAGCCAAATTTCGCTTAATACGTGAAATTTATCTTTGTAATGAAAGGTTCGTTTTATTTATTTTTATTTATAGGACCTCTTGTGTGTCCGCACGGGTTGGTACCACCACCCTGCCTATTTCTGCCGTGAAGCAATAATGCGTTTCGGTTTGAAGGGTGGGGCAGCCGTTGTAACTATAATTGAGACCTTAGAACTGATATCTGAAGGTGGGTGGCGCATTTACGTGGTAGATGTCTATGGGCTCCAGTAACCACTTAACACCAGGTGGGCTGTGAGCTCCACATATCTAAGTAATAAAAAAATTGGTATTATTATCAACAATTCGATGTTTTTAATTGAACTTTAATTAAGTTTACTCCGTTCAAATAGCTGAAGAAGTTTTTTGTAATTATATTTTTTTTCAAATTTGTATTAAACTTTTAATGGCCCTCCTGAAAAGTTACAAAAAGTCGCTTAAACCAAATAGCCTTTCACCTCTCGATATTATAAGATCCTCTCAACGCCGTTCTTTGATATAGGAATAATATGCATCTCTTTCCTTGTAATAACCTTAGTGGATCGTATTACCACTGCAATGCATTACAGGACAGAGTGAATAATAATTTTAAAATTGATAAGAACGTAAAAATAAATTGTGTTAGATAAATTAATGACTGTTTAATGATGCTTTATTGAACTTCAATTATCGTTTGTAAACAGTTTGAATACGATAGAATTTTACACGAATATTATGTTTTCTTTTGTCGAGATATTTTTATGACCCACTTAGGAAGAAAGAAGTCTCTAGTCGACTGTTTGCTTTAGGTTTTCTGGAGTCTTAGACATAATGAAGCCACTTTTACGGCTTAAACTCGCGTTACATACATCATCTGTAGGGTCACACACACATGCTTAATAACGTACGTGGCGTGTTACCTGGCTACGTAATGCAAGGTGTCATCTTCACCATTCCACGCTTGTGGGAAAAGGATATTGGGACGACAGTCCAGTTGTAACGGTCATACAGCGAACACAGTTCCACTTAGATAGCTATAATAAAACTGTATGTGCCTATTGTATTTTCCGTAAATATATAAGTTGTGAGTTAGTAACGACTTTCATTTACAACAACTGGGCTCATCCAAAATCATCTATAAGCCATTACGGATACTCCCGATCCATTAACGGTGCTTTTAGCTACCTCAAGCACCGGTCACCGTCCTTGCCAAGCCGTCGCTTACGACGAAGGGATCGGCGAGTAAATTAACCCACAGACACAGCCCACTGAGTTTCTCACCGGATTTTGTCAGTGGGTCGCGTTTCCGATCCGGTGGTAAATTCTGCGAAGCACTGCTCTTACTAGGGCCAGTGTCAGCAACACTCCCGGCTTGAGCCCCGTGAGCTCACCTACTCGCCCGTTTACGCTGACATAGCTGACAATATAGTGTATTTACACTGATTTATGATTAAACTTACTGATAGGACCTCTTGTGAATCCGCACGGGTAGGTACCACCACTCTGCCTATTTCCGCCGTGAATCAGTAATGCGTTTCGGTTTGAAGGGCGGGGCAGCTGTTGTACTGTAAAAACTGAGACCTTAGAACTCATATATTTGATTATGTGTTAAAAGCCATAATCTTTTTTATCTTCAGTGCATCTTCGTGATCTGGTGCTACCTGCCGACTGAATACAACGGGTCCCTCGTGATCTACTACCGTATCATTCGTCCTTATTACCAGAAGCACCATGGTCGTATCGATGATATGGCCAACACAGGTAAATATTGGTTATATCTAGTTTGAATCTTGTATATATTTAATAGAGAGATTTCGTCTTTTCGCATTAAAAGTGTAGAATTTCCTAAAATATTCGAAATTGAGTTAATATGTGGAATTATTTGGTATCACCAGTCTTTTTCTCATAAATACTGTCAAGAGCTTAGTTTAGTTTTAGTTTTTTTAAGTTACCTATGTCTTCACTGTTAACAAAATTAATACATAATTTTATCTTACTTTAAAAGACAGATAATAATGTAACTGGTAAAAAAAATGTTGCAAAGATGATTAATATTTAAAAAAACTACCTGACCCCGCAGACTTCATAGTGCCTCAATCGATAAATAAAAGATCTAAACTTTTGTATAAAATGAACTTAAAAGAAACAAAAAGAATCCGTCCGACGGGGAACACATCAAGGGAAAAACAAAATTGTTATTTTCATTGAATTCCGAGCATTTTTATATTTATCTACCCTTTAAACCTTCTCAGGACTTCCCCAAACAATACAAGACAAAAATTAGCCAAATCGGTCCAGCCGTTCTTGAGTTTTAGCGAGACTAACGAACAGCAATTCATTTTTATATATATAGATATCACATGTTAAACCTTTAAAACGCTCTCCTGTAAAATTAGTAAGTTTTGAGATTATACAGGTTTAATACGAGAAGACGATTTATCCTTGGAAGGATATGACGAGTGATGTTTACGAGAACGCCTTTGTTGATCTTTTTTTAAACAATCTGCCCTTATTCATTTGAAACAAGAATTAGCTAAAGATGATTTAGGACTATATATTTGCAGCAAAACAAGTATGTTCATTAATATATTCATCTCTTCATACATTTGTTTATACATACCCGAATCAATACCAGCTAAGAGCTGATAACAAAAAATTTTATACAATGTGAGTGTTCATTCCGCCGGTGCTACTTTTTCAAGTGTCAGTATGTAATTTTAGTGTGGCATTCTCTTAGGCCAGTGGTCGGTAACCTTGTCAACCAAAAAAGCTAAATATAAATAACAAACAATTGAAATTTATTCAGAGAACCATTTTTAACATATATTTTTATAGTCTTGTGTTTCAAAAATGCTCACCCGTCTCTTATAAGGCAAAGCAATAAGCAATATTCTGTGCCTGAATTAAACATTTCGCGGAAGACACGTAGCTGAAGAATCAATGAGCCACGGGCTACCGACCACTGTCTTAGGCCCATCATATCAATCGTAGTTTAAACTAATCGAAGATTAACACCGGTCAGTGAAGATCAACTTGTAATTTCAATCATAGTTGTAACTATACTTGAGACCTTAGAACTTATATCTCAAGGTCGGTGGCGCATTCACGTTGTAGATTTTTTTTATTGCCCTTGTAGGCATACGACTATACGGCCCACCTGGTGGTGAGTGGTTACTGTCGCCCATGGACTTCAGTAATTTCTATGGGCTCCAGTAACCACTTAACACCAGGTGGGCTGTGAGCTCGTCCACCCATCTAAGCAATAAAATAAAATAAAAAGTTTAACTCTCATTCGGAGTTTAACACGTTAAACGCCACATGACAAATCGAGTATTTTCATTCGGGCCACGGTGCTCACCGGTGAGCCTTATCTTACTGAACCGTTCGGGCCATGAGGGTCACCCGTGAGCCGTGTGAGGGTTCCAACGTAAACGCTTCCTACAAATCACAGATTACGGCTATCAAACAAAACGCGTATGGAAGTGAGCCGCGTGGACCTTTAGCCGAACCGAGCGCCTTAGTTTTCAAATCCAATAGAAAGTTGTAGTTTAAAAACTAGACAGTAAAGGTTGCTAATTTTTATCTTCCGTGCAAATTATCGCATTTTTTTAATTTTAGAATGAAAATATCAAGTTGATAAAAATTACCGGTTCCCTGATTTCGGCTTGGCCCGAATGGTATAGTGCGCTAGGCCCACCGGTGAGCCGCGTGGCGTTCAACGTATTAAACTAACACAAAATTTAAATGGTCACTAGAGAGCGTTTATAACATGAGTTGGGTTTAAACAGTTCTTTTCAAAATGGCCGCCCGAAATCAATAGCTGTTGTTTTGTGTCAAAGTGAATGTCACTTTTTTTTTTCTACCTATGCTGATAGCCTTGAGAGGCTATTTCAGTTTCGCCTCAACATGTATGAGCTCACGGGGCTCAAACCGGAGTGTTGCTAACACTGGCCCTAGCAAGAGCAGTGTTTCGCAGAATCTACCACCGGATCGGAAACGCGACCCACTGAGAAGATCCGGCGAGTGACACTAAATGTAATTTAAAGTAAATGTCAGTAAATAGAGATATCTAGAAAATAATTTCCATAACTGCATTGTGTCAAGTAGATAAAAATAAACTGTTGACTTCTTTGGATAGTTTGGCCGAAGTTTGCACCTTCGTCTGATTATTTACAAAAAAAAAATTTTCTTTTCAATATGTTGCCAAATTGTCTCACAAAACTTACCAACAATTCGTTTCTGATTTAGAAAAAAATTAGAGCACGTTTTTTTTCAAAAAGCAATTCATCTGTCAAATACATTAAAGTACTGTCAATTTGAAACCTGATAAAAGATTGAAAACTAAGAAATGAATCGCAAAATGTTGCTACACGTCAAGACATCATCTCGATGCCTCCAATGATCACTACTCTAACTCCAAATTCGTAGGTTTACAGGAGGAGAGTTTAAACGAAAAAAGTTGATAAATATATCTGCAATAATAATTATGGTTTTTTCTTGTGTAACTAGCTGATTTACTCTTGCTTCGAACGCCATCAATAATGATTAATTGTAATACTTTTAAAATAGTGAAGCGATTTGCGTGAAAAACGAAAATTTCAAAATTTTCGAGTTAGACTAGTGTTCATTGGAGGCATCGATCTCAGCTTAGCTGAACTGAATTTGTTTACGAATTATACGAAAAAAGTTTAATGTATAGATCAAATTTAAACTAAGTTTAGTTGATCTTCAGTTTAAAACATGATTGATATTATGGGCCTTAGTCGTTATAAAATAGATCCCAGTGATTACTAAATCGGTAAGAGTGGAAACGAAATACGATTAACATATTCTAAATTACGTCCAAGAAATTAATGTAAATACAACAGATATATAAATATATACATATATAACCACATATACTTATATCAGTGATTCTCGACCTTTTTTTTGTTGCGGCACATATTTAAAGATTTCAAAATTTGGCGGCACACAAAAAAAGACAAAAATTATTTACTTACTACAACACACTGCATAAATAGTTTATCAAAAATTTTTAATATACGAAATAAACTAAAATATACTATAAATTTTTTTATGGAATTAAATATATTATATTCATTTTTTAAATATTTTTCTTAATGATATAATTTAATAATATTAAAATTATTATATATTCGCAAAATTTGGCGGCACACAAAAGTGCCGCGGAACAGTGGTTGAGAATCACTAACTTTTATACTTAGGTACGTGAGAATTCTTATAATTGTCAGAGTCTGAAAATGTTTGTTTTAGATCCCATGAATGATATCATTAAAGACCTCAATGAATCGATTGATAAAACAATGACAGCTTTCAGCAAGACACTTAAAAAGCTGTAAACATATTTAGTGTCTGAAGCAGGTCAGTTGGCTAATGGCTATATAAGGGCTTTCAATACATGTAAATTGCTGTGTCACGTACTTTTAATGTCTCCAAAAAAGATATAAAGCGACCATAATAGTCCCCAAGACGAAATAGTTTTTGGAAACGTTCTCTTTTAATATTTTTATTGCTTAGATGGGTGGAGGAGCTCACAGCCCACCTGGTGTTAAGTGGTTACTGGAACATGTACAAAGTAAATACGCCGCCCACCTTGAGATATAAGTTCTAAGTTCTCAGTATAGTTACAACGGCTGCCCCACCCTTCAAACCGAAACGCATTACTGCTTCACTGCAGAAATAGGCATGGTGGTGGTACCTACCCGTGCGGACTCACCTGTCCTACCACCAGTAATTACCTCCAAAAGGACTGCTTGTAGTCTTGGTCTAAGGGATAAGACGCCCGGAGCACTCGTATCGAGCGATGCGGCTGTCTCGGTGTTCGAATCCCGCAGGCAGGTACCAATTACAGATGTTAGAGATGTTAGCATCTTTGGTCAGAGTCCCACATATCCCGTACTACCCCCTGGGCGAGGGCACCACGTGGTAGGCTTGGTACCCCCGCCTGAGAAAAGGTATTAATTACAGAAATACGTACTCTAACACATCATGTTTACGAACATCTTCCTTATTGAAGCAATCTAATCTCAAAACTAAGATCTAGTAATAAAAATCGTGTGTATGTGTGGGTGTGGAAGTATTCATGACATTTGCTTTCTGGTTTGTGTGGTGGGATAGGCATCAGAAGCGAAACAAGTGATGTGGCGATGTTTGCGAGTGCTCAATGCTCAACCCATTGACTTTATCATCTAAAACAGCGGTCGGGGAACCGGGGTAAATTACCCCAAATGGGGTAAAATGAAAATTTAGGGTGTAAAAATTAAACTTTTGTGAGTAAAAAGTATATATTGAATAATGAAAAGAAACGAAACGGGTTGCGCTATAAACATTCCAAGGTTGTTGTTGGTTTTTTATGTTTTCGATGGCTCATATATTTTGAGCAAACCTGGTTGATGCTTTAAAACGCTTACTAGGAAATATTACCAAATATTACACTTTGGGCGTTCATTGAATCTCGAATTGTTATTCAAAGCTTTAAAAATATATATATGTCTGTAATCAATAATAAGTCGATGTTATTTGAGAACTTGTTCATAAAACTTACGTCAATGAACGTTTTCTCCCCGAAAACCGTGTGCTTAGTTCGAGTTTTTAACGTTCTCGATAGCGTAAAAGTTAACTCAACTTTGTATGGAGTTGTAACGTTTGCCTACGTTTGCCGCTAGGGGCGCTGTTCCAACTTCATACAAAGGAGTTAACTTTTACGCTATCGAGAACGTTGAAAAACTCACTCAGCACACAGTTGAGGCCAGTGGCGATTCTCCAATACGACTTGTGTTGAATATTAATATTATGATGATCGTGCAATAACATATTGATAATTTTAATATAAATTGGAGAAACTAGAAATTAAAACTAGAATCGCTGGGATTTTTGTCTGTCAATTAAAAATATTTATTTATTTATTTATTTTGATATATATTTTATTTGTTTTTAATACTTGCTTGACATATATTTAGGTTGTCCATAATTGATTTCAGCATTGTTGTATTTTTTTGTATGTATACTGTGTTTTCCCTTATTCAAAAGAGTGCACACGCTGAGAACTTTTTATTACTCTTTTCATAGTAATTATACTGTGTATAGGTTTTGTAATGATCCTTTGTTTGAAAATTGAAAAAAAAAGACTCGTATTTTATTACATACACGTAAATTTTATCAGCACAATGACGCCTTTTCAGTGTTTCACTTGTGTAAAATCTTTTTTTTTTTTTTTGTCTTGCTTATACATTTTTTTTCTTCTTTGATTCGATCAGCTAATGTCCAAAAATTGGTGAAGGGAGCGAACGACAAGATCGAGAGTTCCATGAAAAAATTGAGTGATCTGTAATAGCCAAGAGGATTCGTTCGTAACGTTAGTCACATTGAAGTCTTGGAACATGTAGATTTTTGAATTTTATATATAGATAGAGTTGGTTGTCCCACCCTGCAAACCGAAACGCATTACTGCTTCACGGCAGAAACAGGCGGGGTGGTGGTACCTACCCGTGCGGACTAACAAGACGTCCTACCACCACTAAATTAATATTTCTTGTTCTTTTAATTTGCTACATAGCAAACTGTTATGTGTAAATGTTTTCAAGGTTAATAAATAAATTATTATTATTATATATTATACATAATGTCTATTTGCATCTACGTATATGTCTCGTTAGAATATCGAATCTTTGAAATTCACGCAACATCGAACCCTGTTTTGTAAAGTAATAATATTTAAAGCGTTTAATTCAGATTGTCTCAACTAAGTCGAGACAACAACTAAGTTTTTGAAGTCGTCGTGGCCTAAAGGATAAGGCGTCCGGTGCATTCGTATGTAGCGATGCACCGGTGTTCGAATCCCGCAGGCGAGTACCAATTTTTCTAATGAAATACGTACTTATCAATTGTTCACGATAGACTTCCATGGTGAAGGAATAACATCGTGTAATTAAAATCTAACCCGCAAAATTATAATTTGCGTAATTACTGGTAGTAGGACCTCTTGTGAGTCCGCACGGGTAGGTACCACCGCCCCGCCTATTTCTGCCGTGAAGCAGTAATGCGTTTCGGCTTGAAGGGTGGGGCAGCCGTTGTAACTATACTGAGACCTTAGAACTTATATCTCAAGGTGGGTGGCGCATTTACGTTGTAGACGTCTATGGGCTCCAGTAACCACTTAACATCAGGTGGGCTGTGAGCTCGTCCACACAACTAGGCAATTAAAAAAAGACTAAAGAATTGATATCAAAATTAAATTGAATGTGTTTCAGAACAATAAAATAAACTCTTTGAAACATTAATTAATTCTGAATTGACGTTTTGCTGCTAGTGTCCTCTTTAAAACAGCATTTAATATTAAAGGATATTTAAGGATGGATTCTTTAATAAAAATGTAATTTCAGTGATTCACTCGAATAGGTCTTATAGCCCAAGAGTAGAATAGAGTATGCTTTATTGTACACCAAAGTAAAAATAAAGTAAAAAGTAAAAAAAATATTTTAATACTAAAGTACAATGGGCTGTTTACTTGCTAAAAGCGATCTCCTCCATACAACCATCAGGGGGACAAGAACCATTTCAGGAAAGAAATCAACCACTGTGTGCTTATCGCTCGATAAAAAGAATACATTTATAAATAAACTACCTGACCTAGCAGACTTCGTAGTGCCTCAATCAATAAATAAAATACCTAAACTTGTGTATAAAATAAACTTAAAACAAACAAAAGGAATCCGTCCGACGGGAGGGATACTTCAAAGGAAAAAAAAATGGTTTTTTATAATTAAATTCTGAGCGTTTTCATATTTATCTACCTTTTAAACTTTCTCTGGGCTTTCACGAATGATTTAAGACCAAAATTAGTTAAATCGGTCCAGCCGTTCTCGAGTTTTAGCGAGACTAACGAACAGCAATTCATTTTTATATATATAGACTAGCCGTACTTGCCCCCTTCGCTGGGCATAAATTAACATTATTATTTATTATCATTGTTATTAGGGAGTCCAACACCCATATAAATATTAGCCTATCCATTAAATACATATATTTTCTACATGGATACCTACCTAGTTTCAAGTCAATCTGATGCATGGTTCAGTAGTTATAACGGAACATTCATAAAAACCACTGTAGATTTATATATTACTATAGACTATAGATAAATGTCAACAATATACGTATTGTATTTTAATTTTGCTCAATTATTTTAGGGAAACAAGATTAAAATGCCGTTTTAATGCAATCAAAAAAATTATAATGGTAAGTTTTATGTTTCGCTTTGTGAGTCAACAAGATCTGTAATCTTTTTTTTGTGTATCTTACAACATACAATTGTTTATTGTTTATTAACTGTTTCTTGACATCACTGATTTTTGGACTAAAAAATTAAAAATTAAATCAATCCCATCCACATAACCCTTATTCAAGTTTTTAATTACAATTACAGTGTACTAAAAAAATATTGACAAATATTTTAATCTGTACTATTTATCTGTTCCTATGCTTAATACATTTATATATATTTTTTCATATAACTGTATACATACGCTGCTGTCTAATTTAAAATAAGGCTATTAATAAATTGTAATTTTTTCCTTTTTGGCCTAATGACAATACCGCGTCGACACTAATAATATCGATATGGATGATCTAGTTTGTGTTCTAAAAGGAATGACGTAGTTTTTTTTTCCGTGTAGTCTTAATTATTATTATGAGTCCGTAGACAACGTGAATGCCGTCTCGATACATGAGGTCAGCTTTGAACTGCCTCGCCACGAAAATGGCACAAGTGTTGTAATTGTGGGCTCGCAAAACGCCCTACTCTCACAGCTTATGGGCATCAGAGAACAGTTAAATGTAAATGTAGTTAAAATTAGAGCACCGTCCCAGCTTTGTTTGGCTCGGACGTGCGTCACACAATATACTTCAATCTCGAGTCTGGTGATCAGCTAAATACCGGATAGGCAGATTGCGTCCGCCCAACAAGACCAGTGTGCTCAGTGCGAGTTTTTTAACGTTCTCGATAGCGTAAAAGTTAACGCAATTTTGTATGCAGTTGAACAGCGCCCCTAGCGGCAAACGTAGGCAAACGTTCGAACTCCATACAAATATGAGCTAACTTTTACGCTATCGAGAACGTAAAAAAACTAACAGAAAAAGAACCGTTTATGTTAGATTTTTTTGTAACAAAGTTTTTTTGTTTGCCACCACACCATGAAGGTTTTTAATTATTGTTTTTTTTTTATTCCAGCTTCCCGTCTGGTTACAGATACCATCAGAAAGACCAATTAAACCTGCTCGTTTCTTCATATGTTTTAAATAAAATTTAAATAGTACAAATTACAGCACTTCGCTTATGCGCCAATATAAAATTTAATTAAGAAAATAAATAAATTTCACGTTTCAAAATGAAATAGTTTTTGTAAACTAAAAGTTGAACTTATAAGATTTCTGTTTGTTAACTTAATAAGTGTATTTTGATAAACGAATAATGAAATTAAAACAAAACAAAAAAAATAGAAATATTTCATTTTAAAGTCTCATAAAATGTATTTCCTTAAAACGGTTTTATTTCAAGACATTTTTGTGTGCATTTAAAGAAATGCTTTTAATTTTAGGAATTACCTATATGTCGGAACCATCATTGTAAACTTTCTTCTTTTTTTTTTGTCACATATTTCTATATAGTTAATCTGTGGTAAATTAGTTGTAACGTCTCTCTCTAGCGCAATTAATTTTCGCGTGCTAGAGTAAGACGACTATATACAATTACATTTGACGTGAATGATTCAAATCTTGAATAAAATAGTATAAGTTTGTAAGTGTTGTTTTAAAATTTTTGTCGGTATTTTTTTTTTAGTTTTAAAAGGTAAACGGAATGCTACAAACATATTAAATGTAAGCAATTAACCCTTATTGGAAGATCTCTGTAACAATGAATTTCTCTTAGTTCTTTTTTTTTCCATTGAGATTGCTCAAGGTTTTCTTTATTAGTATAGTATTATTATGTTTCTGTATAAATAGGTTTCTGTTCGCGTTGTGTTACCCTAGTAGAATATTTTGGAGTGTTGCCATGTTTTACCCAAAATCAGCTACGTGATTGAGTTTAAATGTAATCATGTTTTTGTTTGAATTAGATTTGAGCTTATGATGCTAATTATTGTGCCTTTAAATTTGCCACGAGAAGTTTCGGATATTCACACTGATGAATTGTCATTTTTTTGCATAATAAAAGGAATTCATTGTGGATTGTGTGTGTTCATTTCACGTTGTGATATCTTTCAGAAATAATATTTATGTTTCGTTCGCCGTAAACTAAGCGGTGTTCAGGCTAAAATTGTTTTCGGTCGAGAAATGGTTACGATATGAATTTGTTGGCCATATAAATTAAAATTATGAGTGTTCAACAACAAAAAAAATTACCACAAAATGGTTTTAAACTGGTGGTAGGACCTCTTGTGAATCCGCACGGGTAGATACCACCACCCTACCTATTTCAGCCGTGAAGCAGTAATGCGTTTCGATTTTAAGGGTGGGGCAGCTGTTGTAACTTTACCTTAGAACTTATATCTCAAGGTGGGTGGCCCATTTACGTTATAGATGTCTATGGGCTCCAGTACCTACTTAACACCAGGTGGGCTGTGAGCTCGTCCACCCATCTAAGCAATAAAAAAAATCAATCCCAGTCTTCATTACTGTTCCGATCGCTAACAAAATCTGGATGAACCTGCTGGACGAATCTGAAGATGCCTTAAGAATTTCATTGAAACCGGTTCAGCCGTTTTGGAGGTCTATATAGCACTCACATTGCTACTTTAATTGGTATGTACCTACCAGTGTTGGGCAAAATTTAATTGGAAGGTACAATTAAAAATAACAATTGATTAACTGTGACGTTTCAGTTAAAAATTAATTAACTGTTAACTGTTAGCTTTTTAATTAACAATTAATCAATTGTTCCTGCAATTAAACTTTAATTAAATTTAAATAAAGTAAATAAAAATAATAGAAGATGGCGGAGTAGCACAGGGTAGGTCTCTCACAAGGTTGACTGATGTTCTTGCAAAAATACATAATAACAAGGAAGATCATTTACATTGTGTGCACCTACAGATGCAGTTTTAATTGTTTCTTACAACAATAAAAAATTATAGTTGCATTATATTAATTGTACCTTGCAATTAACACAACTAAATTTAAATAAATTGATTTCAATATGCAACTAACGGACTACTTGCAATTGTGATTAAATTAAATGCAATTAATCTTTCAATCAATTAATACGATGATTAAAATATTAATTGATTAATGCCCAACACTGGTTTATACAGTGTGCTTAGTGCGAGTTTTTTAACGTTCTCGATAGCGTAAAAGTTAGCCCAATTTTTTATGCAGTTAAAACAGCGCCCCTAGCGGCAAACGTAGGCAAATGATCCAACTCCATACAAATATGAGCTAACTTTTACGCTATCGAGGACGTTAAAAAACTCGCACTAAGCACACAGATACGTTTTCAGTTTGAAGGGGAGCATGAGACATCGCTGTTTTCCCAACCGTACGTCGTGCCGTATGATGATGTGGCCTATAGACACAAACCGCTGAGTTTCTCGCCGGATCTTCTCAGTGGGTCGCGATTCCGATCCGGTGGTAGATTCTGCCCTGCTCTTGCTAGGGCCAGTGCTAGCAAACCGCGAACAAAAAAGCTTCGTGAGCTCACCTACCAGCCAGTGCGTGGCTGGGATGGCCTCATAAGCTACCAACGAACAGGTAGGGAAAAAAGATGAGCTTTGATTAATATTTAAATACCACAGTGGATCGCTGCATATCGCCGAGAATCGTTCAAAAATCGTTTGGACCTATTAATATCATTCAGAAAACATTGTTGATGTATTTTTATTTTTATTGCTTAGATGGGTGCACGACCTCACGGCCCACCTGGTGTTAAGTGGTCACTGGAACCCATAGATATCTACAACGTAAATGCGCCACCCACCTTGAGATTATAAGTTCTAAGGTCTCAGTATAGTTACAACGGCTGCCCTGCCCTTCAAACTAAAACGCATTGCTGCTTCACGGCAGAAATAGGCGGGGTGGTGGTACCTACCCGTGGGTACTCACAAGAGGTCCTACCACCAGTAAAATTATTAAAGGTAAGTTTATTCCAGTGACAAAAAATATACGTAAACATTATAGATGATAGAACCTGATAGAATATTCCCGAATATAGGTAGTTAAAACCTATTTATTACTTAAGGAAAGTAATTAAATTACTGAGATATAAAAACAGATTAATTGGCCTAGACTGGATTTGGATAGCACTTTCCAAAAAATGTTTTACTGGCAGACAGTTGCTGTCTTTGCTGGCGTCCATGACCTACGGTGAGTATTTACCATACGATCGACAGTGAGCTCGTTTTGACTTGCATACGCAAAAGCAATAACAAAACCTGAATAAGAATTTAGTAAAGACAGCTGTATCTAGTAACTTGCCCATAGACACAGCCCACTTGCCCATAGAAACAGCCCAGTGGGTCGCGTTTCCGATTCGGTGGTAGCTTCTGCGAAGCGCTGCTCTTGCTAGGGTCAGTGTTAGCATTACTCCGGTTTGAGACCCGTGAGCTCATCTACTAGTTAAGGTTACTTACGAAGGTTAAGGTAAGTAAAAAAAAAAGTAACTTGTTTATGATTTAATATAATCCCTGCCTCCTGGCGTCATTTTCCTCGTTACTGAGGGTAGTGACTCCCCCGCTGCATCAGCTTCTCCCGTACGATTTCTCTCCATCTGCTGCGATCCTTAGCTTCATGAAGGGCATTGTGGAAGTTGATGTTCAGAGAAGATGTATTTGGTCCGACCATCTCCCAACGTTTGCCACCTACCTTGCCTGTCACCATCAGCTGTTCAAGATTGTGACCCTCTTTACGAGCAATATGCCCGAAGAATTCCAGCACCCTACGAAGGCATATAGTGGAAAGTCTAGTTTTGATATTAAGCTCTCTCAGAATAGACACGTTGGTGCGAAAAGCGGTCTATGGAATCTGTAGCATTTTTCTCCAGCTCCACATTTCAAAGGCGTCTATTCGGTCTCTGTCGGCCTTTTTCAGTGTCCAGGTCTCCGCTCCATAACTGAATGTGGAGAAAACTAGCGAACTCACCAATTTAGTTTTAGTTTTTCGCTAGATGTTACGGTCTCTCCATATCTTGTGGGACATTGCCTTTTTGGCCATCCCTATACGTCTTCTTATCTGTTTTTCGCATGATCCTGTGTTATTAATGTTAGACCCTAGGTAGACGAAGTCGCTCACGATGTCAAGGTTCAGCGTTCCCGTTAGTTCAACGCTGTTTGTACGATCCACAACAATGACTTTGGTTTTGCTATGATTGATTTTTAGACCCAACAGCAAACTGATGTTCTTATTACACTACATTGAATTTAAATAATAGCTGAAATGAATATTGCTAATTCATAGTCAGGCTTAGACTTAACAGATACTACGATTCAGAGTAATCTATGTTCAGAGCTCGTCAGTGAAATACTAGACTTTTTGGCGGGAACGCGAGGAGTGAAGTTGTGTGATTTGTTTTATTTGGTCTATTTAGTGTTTCTTCAGGTTTCAATGTGTAATTACGGTGGTTTGTTAATTGATTAGTATCTGTGAATAAATGTAGGAAAATTAAACAAAGCCGCTGAACGTAACTTCTCGGGATCCTCCAAAAAGTTGACTGAAAAAGTCTCAGTAAATGACCACCATTTTACCGAGATTATATTTCATCACATATCATCTCATATGGTTTTATTTCGTGCCATGTTTCATCTAATCAACTTCATTTCACTTCATATTATCATTTTTCATATAGTGCAGTTTTCGTTAAAATTAAATAAGCCTTGACCTAAGGGTCTTAGTTACCAGATCATAACATATATTAAAAAAAAAGGAAAATATTAGTCTATGGTAGATCATCTGTATCGGGGGATTCCCCCAATGGTGTACTTTGAAAAGTTCTTATTATAAAAATATGATTTCCAACATGAGGTTCAGTATAATAATGATATTTAGCAAGTATTGCGGAAAAGTGAATAGTAATTGAAACGGCACGGATGTCTCAAAGGCGTGACATCAGCAATGCTGACGCCACTACCGTCATAATTAGGGTGTTGCTTATGGTTGGCGAAGTAATAAACAAACCTATATCTGTAGAAGGTCATTTCTCTTTTCAAGAAGCCTGTTCTCGGCGGTTCGCATTCGCTTGTCCCAGTCCTCTGCTGCTGGGTCATAGTGTCCCCCTGTTTTACTGGGCAGAGGCCAAAATTCTCTTCCCGAAAGGAATGGGCAAGGTTTATTCACTGGTTACCAGGTTGCATCTCGCGATGCCCTCGTGGTTCCGTGAAGAGGGAAACGATCCTCGGGACAAAGGCCAATACTAATAAATTACAGTGTGTAAGAATACAGTAGTATTCTTTGTAATTAATATTTTTCAGAAAATCTGTCAACGGATCTCTAACTCCCAACACGTAATACGAGAAAGTTTGAAGTAAAGCTGCCAGCAAATAAATTACAAAATTTACTTTTGACAAATTAAAGCCAGTGATATTTAGTTTACGATTGCGCATTGTATTTTAAATAGTTCGCGCACTCATCAAGTATACGTATTTAACGTACCGTTATTTTTAGTCTATTCAAAATTTGATTCTCGATTCGTATTTGCAAAGCTCACTAAGTTGTTTCAAGAGGTAACACTGAGCACTGAGCTCCAGAGTTATCGCAAAATTGATCAATAAACAGATAAAGATTATCAAGTGTTAATTTGTATTGTATATCTGGTGAGAAGTTACTGTGACTTAAGGTATTTAATATTTATTTATTTTATGGGCAATTACAAGGATAATGCATTAATAAAACAAAGCCTTAACATTTCTTGCAAACAGTATTAACATAGTATATAGTAATAGTAGTAGGGGCATAAAGAAAACCCTTATATTATTTGCTTTTATATTTAATTATTTGCAAGAACACCTCCTCGGGTGAGTGCCTTAACCAAGGAAAACCAATTATCCAAATTCTGAGCTGTATTTAGTTTGGGCAGTTGTCCGTATGATGTCATCCTACTATCTTATGTGGGGGTCTTCCTCTGTGTGGCTTTCCTCGTGAATCATTCCACGAAGTGGTTCTTTTGGTTCATAATTTATCTTGCATTCTTGCTACATGGCCCACTCATTTCTATTTAAGTATTTCGATGCCTCCAATGAA